CTTAACCTGACCATTAGGATTGGGTTCCCTTATGAATGGCGCCGTCCATCATGATAATCTCTCACGATTGTTTAAGTTACTATAGGATATAACATGATATGACCTTTATCAGTGTAATAACGATTAAGACTGGGGCCAGTTAATGACCTATATTGAAATAACCAATCACATGTAAAGGGTAGAAACTACTGCCAGTGAATCGTCTACTTAATCCTTGTGACTGAAAAGAGTGTCTAAAACAGATAAGGGGTTAGTAGGCATTGGATGATAAATTTGTTACAATTTGTGATCTGTCATAGTTTGAAGGGGATGTGAATATAAGAGAAATTTTATATGGCAGCTGTAGAATAAAAAAAAAACTAATGCGATAACCTATACAGTATTGGGGGGGAAACACACACACACACACACACACACACACACACACACACACACACACACGCAAACATTGTACTGTAGTGTAGCTCATGAAGACGCTCTCGGAAGCCGTGTTAATGGTGGAGAGAGAGAGGGAGAGCCACTTACAACAACAGTGTGGTGTGAAAAACGTAAAACGACACAGAACTCTTAGGAAAGTCTTTTGAGGGGGAAAATATAACTGATTCGCCGCCAGCAAGGAAACACCATTACCACCATACCGCTAGGTGGTGTTGTGCCATGATGGTGGTGTGGTGATGGTGTAGTGGTGTTCTGGCGTGGTGGTGGTGGTGGTTTTCTGCCATGGTGGTGGTGTTCTGGTGTGGTGGTGGTGGTGTGATGTGGCGGTGTTCTGCCATGGTGGTGGTGTGTGGTGGTGGTGGAGTAGTGGTGGTGTTCAGCCACGATGGCGATGGTGGTGGTGTGGTGGTGTTCAGCCATGATGGTGATGGTGTGGTGGTGTTCAGCCATGATGGTGGTGGTGTGGTGGTGTTCAGCCATGATGATGGTAGTGTGGTGGTGTTCAGCCATGATGGTGGTGGTGTGGTGGTGTTCAGCCATGATGGTGGTGGAGTAGGGTGCTCAGCCATGATGGTGGTGGTGTGGTGGTGTTCAGCCATGATGGTGGTGGTGGTGTGGTGGTGTAGTGGTGTGGTGGTGTTCAACTATCATGGTGGTGATGTGGCGTTCAGCCATGATGGTGGTGGTGTGGTGGTGTTCAACCATCATGGTGGTGTGGTGGTGTTCAACCATCATGGTGGTGTGGTGGTGTTCAACCATCATGGTGGTGTGGTGGTGTTCAACCATCATGGTGGTGTGGTGGTGGTGGTTCATGATACCATTTGAAGTCTTCTAGTAAAGGATTTCAGTCATATGCAAAATTAAGTTGATACGAATGAAGCTGAACTTTCCTGTTATGTTATGTAAATATGAATGATAAATCTTGACTTATAAGGATACATTAACAACTAAAATACCTACTCCAGTTTATAGCTTATCCAGAGGTAGTCATAAATTACCTGCTCCCCCCCCCCCTACTATTAATAATAATAATAATAATAATAATAATAATAATAATAATAATAATAATAATAATAATAATTGTAATGATAAAAAATAGCTACACTGAACACATATTCAGAAATTGGTAATAATTTGAGGAAGTCAGTTCTTGATATGAAATATAACGGCAAAACTCTGAATATTTTACTTGACATCAGAGGTAGGTCGAGCACTGCATAATTTACCCAATTTTGTGTCTGGTAATTACTTACAGCTTTTGATGTCGTTCTGTTTGAGGCGTTACCCTTTACGGATATGGCTTATAGCCTTATCATGACTGGACACTTTTAATATAATAATAATAATAATAATAATAATAATAATAATAATAATAATAATAATAATAATAATAATAATAATAATAATAATAATAATAATAATAATAATAATAATTATTATTATTGCTGTTGTTGATGGTGCAATCATCATCATCCTCATCATTAATCATCAATAGTATTACTACTACTATTACTACTACTACGGCTTGTATAGACGAGATAGGATGAATGGGCGGCTCGTTTGGGCGGCTGGCATGGGCAAGGCAGGATGGGTGGACGGCTCCAAAAATAAACTTTTAATGTATTTTCAAGACGCCTCTAAACCACTAACATTTTTCCTAAAAGCGTCACATATCTCTAAGGATTTTGACTATGGTGAAAAATTTGTGGTGGGAGCGTCGGGGGTGTGGTAATGACGGCCCTCCTATTGGCTCTCTGGAAGTTGTGACGGAGGAGAGGTGGAGGATGCGAGATGTGTTGGAGAAGTGAAGTGTGGGAGAAAGTTGTGATGGAGAGGAGGAGGATCGGAAAAGTTTTGTTAGAGAGGTGGGGGATAGGAGAAGATATGTTGGAGAGGTGAGGGATAGGGAAAAGGTGAGGTGGAGTGTGGGAGAGTGTGTGTTACCTCTCCACCAAGGTCACGCAGCCTCAAGTGAAATCTGTTTCCGGGGAGCAGCAGCAGCCCGTCTGAAGAGTATTACTTATTGTATTTTGATTGTGTATAATGATAAGAGCACGATACATGTATACAGCCATGAAGTAGAGAGGATTATTTTTCATTTACTATGATGTAGAAATATCTTACTCATGATTTGATGATTATAAATACATTACATGCATATTTTTTATTATAAATCAATAACCTTCCATTTATGGTGTTATCAGGACATAAATAGAAATGTATGATGGAGGCAGAAAGTGGACGCTCCTCCTCCTCAGAATTCATGAAGGGTCGACAAAATCCTCTCAGGCAGTTTTATTTGCCGACCAAAGTTTATAAGTCTTATTACAGCCCAGGAAAATGTTTCTCAGTCTCAACCTGAGGGTCACTGAGTAACATTTTATTCAATAGAGACGAAATTCTTTCTCAGCACCTCCTACTGCAACACTTAGAGGGTAACGTTTGGACAATATAACTTGTCATCAAAACTTAATATGACAAATAGAATAAAAATAAATACATCACTAAGTACAGTCACCTCAAAAAGTCCGCTTCTCCTTCCCAAACGAATCAGTATTTTTGGTTATAATGTTCGTTACCTGAGGATATATTACACCTTTCATCTAACACTCCGTTCTAAATGTAATAGGAAAGGATACGAAAAACTAATTCATTCCTCACTGGACCTTCTCTCAACATAATGTTAATGGATAACCTTTAGCTTGAGTGCGTCCTGGAGATGACTCTACTTTTCGTAGTTTGCAAATACTGTACTGTAGGTTGACTATACAAGTAAGCAGATGACAGTAGCCTTGCTGGATGCGTAATCAAGCTTAACTACTTTTTGCATGAGAATTGTATATTGATTCACTTGCTGGTCATCTGTATAGGGCCTCTGCCAGCACTTGTGACGCTTTTGTCTTCCAAGTGTTTTGTTAAGTATTGTTCCTGAGTAAATATAAATTTGGTTTGACTCGTATATACTGTACAGTAAGGTGAATACTCTACTAAAGTGTGGATCTTTTTCAGTGATATTTTTATCAATAGTGAATTTTTTGTGAGAAGTTTAGTGCCTTGTTGACAGCTCATAGTATTTGTTGTTTTAATTGTTTTATTCTCGTTGTATTGATAAAATAATTGATTCCATGACACTCTGCGTATAGATCTGTGTTGTTAATATACATTAAGGCCCGTCCACACGATCGAGCAGTGCCCGGCGGGCACGCGCTAAATGCCCGTTATTGGGCAAAATTGGCGGCCAAACCAGCGAAGTGCCCGTGCCTGTCGTTGAGCGAAATCATGGTCCACCTGCCTGGTGGTTTGCTGCCGGATATGGAACGACGACTCTGCTAGACAAACGAAGTTGACCCTGGGACCCCTTCACAAATACTAATATGTTTTAATATCATTTTCATTATTAATAATCGATAAAACCGGAAAACCGACATTCCTATAATATTGTCATTAATATTCAACATTACACAAGCCTGCAATACAAGACGTGTTATTATTGGAACCTCAAGTGACTGTCAAAAACAGCTGATCAATACGCCACCGCTGACCTCGGGGGTCGGGGTCCTCAAGTCGGTGAGGTATGAACAGACACTGACAGAACGTATGCTAGCACTTTGTAAAACCTGAGTTAAGTACTGCAAATGTGATACGTATATGTTCCCCGCTCGGTCCAGATGTCCAGTGTATAACCAAATAAGCTAATGCAATGTACATTATTGGCGTGACAATAAACGGGAGATTGTTTATGTATTATGTAATGAGGACATTCGTGTGTGTTCTTCGTTCCTGCCGCTCTCCTCACTCTAGTCCCATAGCTTCCTGTCTATGCATATCATAATTTTAACATTATTCAATGAATTTTTATGTACTACAAATCTCACCTGCAAGTAATCTTCCTTGAGTACTTCATACATGGCTTGACAAGTTGCAGGTATTATGCGAGACAAACTTTGTTTTGATATCCTCGTTCTATACTGAAGTGACGTGTAGGTGCACCCAGTTGAAAGATATATGAGCGTTGCCTCTAGACGAGCCTCTGCAGATATACTCTCCCTCATATTGGTTTCCTGTTTTTTTTATATATGGTTCCACTTTCGCTAGACGTTTGTAAAAGGTGTTGGGGTTCCATTCTCATGTCCATCTTGCAGGTCACGTAAAATCGTGGCATGACTTCCCAATACTTTTCTTCGACTTAACCACTCTTTTCACCATTCCCTTTTCTGCATTTGGTTCTTCTTTTTGCACATAGAAGCAATTATTATAGTACGTAACGCTAAGCTCTTCGCTTTAACTGTCCGGTGATTATTCCTGCGACACACCATGGTGATCGTACCGCACACGCCACTGCCGACCACCTACTAGCTACCGGTGCTCGACTATGACTGCCGCCAACCACCCCCGTGTGTACAACAACAACACAGGATTTGCCCCGTAAACGAGCAAAGCCCGCCGGGCACTGTTCGATCGTGTGGACGGGGCTTTGGTCGTTGATATATGAAACTGCCACCTTCAATGTGGCACGGCAAATCAGGTTATTAAAAGGACAAAAAATTAATTTATGTATATTAATTAACTTTTTATAACGTTCTACCAATACAGCGAAGACAGATACTGTTCCTTCGCTCCACAGTGTTTAACATGTTCACAGTGGTCCCCTACAGTACACGGCCTTCCACCTCTCCAAACATCAATGTTTCTTACACAGAGAATTAAGATGCTATTTTCGTGTAACTTGTCATTATATTATAAAGAACATATTTCACTGATGTTTCTCATAGCATTATGGTGAAAAAATCTGTCAATTTAGTACAGAAGAATTTTTGCCTCTAAAAAATAAGTGATGTATCTACAGGCGTTTCCATGTATTCAACAAAACGTTTCTTATTGCAAGATATGTAGAGGACTTACCAGACTTTACTTACACACGTGAACAGTGTAATGTGTCTCTCACACCTCAGTGAACACTGGTGTGTGTGCAACACAGGTGGTGAGAGAAATGATATTCCCCAAATGGCAGAGCTAGTGTTGCTTCTCACCAGCTGTGTGGCCACACCAGTGGTTCTCACACAAACTGTGTGGCCACACCAGTGGTTCTCACCCCAACTGAGTAGCCACACCAGTGGTTTTCACACCAGGTGCGTGGCCACACCAGTGGTTCTCACACCAGCTGCGTGGCCACACCAGTGGTTCTCATACCAACTGTGTGGCCACACCAATGGTTGTTATACCAACTGTGTGACCACACCAGTGGTTCTCACACCAACTGTGTGGCCACACCAGTTGTTCTTATACCAGTTGTGTGGCCACGCCAGCTGTTCAGTACACACTACCACAATTTAGTCTTCAGTACGTGGCTTTTACTTGGTGTGGCCAGACATTCGTTATTTGTCTCAAAATTTGCAGAAAAAACATGCATACTGGCCAATGGCTTACACTACAGCAGAATGTTTATCTACCAATAACTACCACTCAGGAATAATCCGGTGACCTGATTGCTGAAGGTCACACGTCAAGTGTCAGAGGAAAAAAGGAAATTATATTATAATCGGATGGTATATTTTTTGAGGGGGGGGGGGGTTGGGTAAGCGTAGACTTGCGTGTTCAAAACCACATCATGTATTGGGTAATGTGTTCCTGCTATTATTTATAACATCTACCAACCGAGGAACATATAGGGAGTTAGATGTATGGCTGATGAAGATATCTGGTATCTCCTCGAGGCCATAAGTAGCATTTTTTAATGAATAAATTATTCCAACCCGACGAATCGGAGTGATTCATTCATGGAAAAAAATAGTACCTATTACCTCGAGCAGATGTCTCCCTTGACCACCCACTTGTTCACCTCCTATGATGTCAACTGTACATTCACTTTCTTCCTGAGTTACCATGTACAGTATATCTATCGCCACCCTCTTACCGTAGTACTTCATTTACACATACCGTCACTGTGGGTGTTGATAAGTGTACCGTCACTGTGGGTGTTGATAAGTGTACCGTCACTGTGGGTGTTGATAAGTGTACCGTCACTGTGGGTGTTGATAAGTGTACCGTCACTGTGGGTGTTGATAAGTGTACCGTCACTGTGGGTGTTGATAAGTGTACCGTCACTGTGGGTGTTGATAAGTGTACCGTCACTGTGGGTGTTGATAAGTGTACCGTCACTGTGGGTGTTGATAAGTGTACCGTCACTGTGGGTGTTGATAAGTGTACCGTCACTGTGGGTGTTGATAAGTGTACCGTCACTGTGGGTGTTGATAAGTGTACCGTCACTGTGGGTGTTGATAAGTGTACCGTCACTGTGGGTGTTGATAAGTGTACCGTCACTGTGGGTGTTGATAAGTGTACCGTCAATGGGTGTTGATAAGTGTACCGTCACTGTGGGTGTTGATAAGTGTACCGTCACTGTGGGTGTTAATAAGTGTACCATTACTGTAGGTGTTTATATCCGTTGGTGGTTGTCAGGTGTTGAGGTGTATCCTGAGTGCGGGTAGTGCTGGTCCAAGTCGTTCAAGATTTATCGTGCACTCATACGCGTGTGATGCGCCCTATATAACTCCGTCTGCAGAACGCCAAGACGTAAAGAAACTCTCTCGTTGGTGTAGAAGTTCCTCAACCCGCGAGTGTGCTGGTAGAGGTGGGGGGAAGGGGGGGTGCTCATAGTGACTCGGGCTTTTGTTGGTAGATTTTGGGTCATTATAATATAGTTTTCTCTTTGACGTTTTCCACGAGAGAGGTTTGTGGATCCAGATAAAGTCAGTATATTGTACTTGGTAAACGTTCTTGTGATAGCCTATGCGTACAGTTTTTAGCTTCTTGATATGTCATCAGTTTCGATTTTGTATTTCAGGAGAGGATCACTTGCCTAGCCTACCATATACGTGAGGGTTAAGAAGGGATATTTCTTGGAGGTACATAACCCTGTCAATGTTGCTAAACAAGGGACTTGTTTATAATTAACGTAACTAAACCTCCGCTCTAATTATTGTTCGCTACCTCGTAAGTGTACATGCAGTGCATTATAGTTGTACTAAGCTTACTGTTGACTGGCTACCCCTGCATAGTGCTGTTAGGAGGGACTGATTCCTATGCTGCTACTCGTCACTACTAACTATAGCCACAACATTCATAACATCTGGCACAGGCGTACACTTGAGCCAGCTGGTGTTACTTTGCGACGCCGCGCCGGGGGAGGAATTTCATGTACAAAATGGACGAAATCTTGTTGTGTTGCAACACCAGCATCGAATTAACACACATGTGTCCCCGTCGTTCCAGATGAGGTATTTAGATGTGAAGGTAATGTGTCCGTGAACTGTAACAGAAAATTGATTTCATCTAAATGGATCTCCTCCAAACGTGGAGTGTGGATAATTATATCACAAGGTCTCAGATGAGTTCTATAATTGGCATGTTTCGTAATTACTCAACCTTATGTGCTGAGAGTCATAGGTTAGTTCTCTGTACTGTTATACACATTGAAATGGCAATGGTTTTGTTTTCATTTTTTCTTCTTTTCATAATGATTCACTTATATCGTATTATCCATTGAATTTATAGATCAGTTAACCTTACTCCCTCATCCTGTAAATCATTGAAAAAAGTAACAAAAATAAAGTTAATTATCTGTTAGTCACAGAAAGTCTAACATCTTGTCAGTGTTCACTCATTAATTTAGGTTATCAGTAGTAAGTCGGAGCACACACATGTCCTTCCTCTTCCCTGCCAAACTTGTTTCGTCCTGAGCATCAGAAGCCAATTATACTATTCTGTCATACAGAGAAACAATGGTAAAGACACGTCTGATATTCTCACAGGATTTTCCTTAAGTCTTACTTGTTAGTATTATTTCAATACTTAAGATTATACAGTAATACACCCTTTAATTTCATTAAACTTCGTTATTTTTTAGTAAAAAAAATTGACAGTCTTGAATGACTGATCAGTACAAGACCACCCCAGTTCCTATTGGGACGGATTTAATGGTCAATATTTATTTCCTCATCTCTCATTTACTCTTAATGACCAAAATTAACAACACATTCGCTTGTTTATGATGCTACAAATACACTGTCTTTGAAAATTATTAATCACAGTCGATATTCACGCTGCCTGATGTACTGACTAAAGACATCACTACTACTCGCTGGTGTGTGTAACTTGGTGTGCCATTAACTGACATTTTGTTTCAAGCTCTTCAGTGTCACCTGCGACCTTCAGGCGGTCACATATAGCCATGTTCACTAAAGTTTCTAAGTTCACCAGGGATATAGTCCAAGGGATTCCTCCGTCCAGCAGAGAAATCTGCGGAAGAGTTCTCAAGTTTTCCCAGCATGTGTTCAAGGAAGTTCCTCCGTTCATCAGAGAGAGTTTGAGAAAAGCCATTTAGTTCACAGGCAGATGTTTACATCGGGTGAGTTGTTGAGGAGCACGACAAGGTCGACCAGGACGACAATGTAGGAGTTGAGGGCTACCAGGTCAACCAGAACCAACAGCTCTGGTGTGTTGAGGACGACCAGATCGACCTGGATGGCAGCCTAGGTGTTGAAGAGGATGACCAGGGCGACCAAGATTAACAGTGACCATCCCGCGCTGGCTGCAGTAGAGCTGCTTCCTGCAAGAACAAGAAATGAAAGAACATATTAACACTGATGGCTTACCTAAAGGAGACCCGTTTTAATATTGAAGGAAAACCATTTTGATACTAATGAGTGGCTAAGGGAAACCCATTTTAACACTGAAGAAAGACCATATTAACCCTGAAAGAAGACCATTTCAATACCTCGTTGCTAACATCCCTGATAGTGTATGTTGAAAGTTAATGGCGTTTTAAGTTTCCTCACTTTAGATACTCTCACCACATTCCAGGTCTAAGATATGTCTTATAATTTCTCGAAGACCACAACTAAAACATATTTTTTCATCTAGTATCACTATTAGAGTCATGAACACCTTTGACAGAGACAAGAGAGCAGCAAGAGCCTAGTAATGATAGGTATAAGAACAGTAAATAAGAACGCCAAATGGCTAGTCTGGTCAGTAGTGAAAGTAAAAGTAACCCAAAGTAAAATACTACGAAATACAAACTACCAGACATGTGCCACTGATCCAAGAGGATTAATTTGTCACCAACTAGAGAATCAATCCCTGATTGGTTGAGGAAACGACAAAAATAAACTAGATCTGCTTGTAGGATCATCCACACAATACTCACCGAGGAAGTAGAAATGATCATTGTGTCGGCGCTCCTCAGCCTGTGTTTGAGGTAGGAACCCAGTCTCAATGACCGAGGTCTCCTGCGACTGGAAATAGACGGTGGCGATCTTGGCGACGCACTTGAGTCGCATTTCACCCCTGGGAAAGTGACTCCTACTCGTGATGAAAGTGAGCCCCAACACAGCTGTCTCCAGCCCGTCCCGCTCCTTCTGTGGCGGGTACTTCCTCAGTGACCCTACCTCTGTCTGTGGGAGACCTGGAACTTACACATAGACAGACACACACACGCATACACACCGTAGTCAACCTGGCACGTCTGTACGGCGACTTAACCATATAGTAGATCTTATATTTATAATTTGCAAACAAACGGACCAGAAAAAATCATTAAAAATTATGAGAAAATTAGCCACCTAAACTTTTCTGTTTACAAACACCCTCCAGAAACTATTTCCGCGATAATAACAAAAAATAAATAAAAATTCACAAGCAAAATCAACGGAATTCTAAATGGCGCCTTGCATTGACCACAAACTAATCTTCATTAAACCACTCACCACAAGCTGGCCATCATTAAACCACCCACCACAAGCTGGCCATCATTAAACCACTCACCACAAGCTGGCCATCATTAAACCACTCACCACAAGCTGGCCATCATTAAACCACTCACCACAAGCTGGCCATCATTAAACCACTCACCACAAGCTGGCCATCATTAAACCACCCACCACAAGCTGCCATTAAAACCACTCACCACAAGCCATCATTAAACCACCCACCACAAGCTGGCCATCATTAAACCACTCACCACAAGCTGGCCATCATTAAACCACTCACCACAAGCTGGCCATCATTAAACCACTCACCACAAGCTGGCCATCATTAAACCACTCACCACAAGCTGGCCATCATTAAACCACCCACCACAAGCTGGTCATCATTAAACCACTCACCACAAGCTGGTCATCATTAAACTACTCACCACAAGCTGGTTATTAATGTACCACTGGAGGGTGGCGGCAGGCTTGGAGTAGAGGGAGGTACAGTTGACTACCACACGCTCACCCAGCTGGTAACTGCTGCTGGCTCCCTCCAACACTGGCGCGCTCTCTGGCAGGTCTGTGAGGGTCAAGGGCACATGATTCATCAGTCACGTGTGTGCTGGTGTATGGTGTACCAGTGTCACGTGTGCTGGTGTATGGTGCACTAGTGTCACGTGAGTGCTGGTGTATGGTGTACCAGTGTCACGTGTGCTGGTGTATGGTGCACTAGTGTCACGTGAGTGCTGGTGTAAGGTGTACCAGTGTCACGTGTGTGGTATATGGTGCACCTGTAATAGTGCCATGCTTTTATAGTAAATAATGACATATTTTAGAGGTTTGTGGGTAATGTAAATTCAAGTTGCTAACTGATTTCACGCCTGCCAAGACCACGAACGTTCCCGCCCAAGCTGTAAGAGCCTGAGTGTGCCTATGGGCCTTAGCCTATCGCAATGATCCGTGAATGTGGCGTAATAAGGGCTTTGATCTGATTGGGTGAGCCTGGGCATTCCATATCCAGTAACACGGGCGCTCGATTTAAAACGAGATTACTAGTGTGTGTGTGTGTGTGTGTGTGTGTGTGTGTGTTTGGAGGTGTTCTTGTGAAGACGTGTGTGGCTGTGTGGGTCAGTGGATTTAACATGGCGAGATATCTAAGTAAGTGTACCTTGTGGTAAACTCCTTCACACATTGTTATATTGTGAAGAGAGCTAAGAGTCTAGGTCGTTTGAAAGTGTAATTGTACTGTAAGTCGCCATCGCAGGTGGTTGCCAGAAGTCCAATTTGTAAGACGCCCAGAGCAGGTGGCTGTCTATCTTCATCTAGCTTAGTTTATCTAGGACAGATCAGTACTAGCTTATTTAACTACCAGTTTTATAGGATTATTGATATTTCGTAGGACGATTGCCGACTCCAAGTCGCCAAACGCCCTACGAATAACCCCGTTGTTTTTTGTTTGTTTTTTGACATGGCTGAACTTCTAGTCTGGATGCCGCCCCCTGACTGCAGAGCGAGTGCAACCGTTCGCACTTTGCAGTGTAAATTTGAACACCTATGTATCCAAGTTATTGCACATTATCCCTACTCCTATAGGTGTGTGTGTGGAGGGGGGTGAAGGTGGGTGTGTGTGTGTGGGTAAAGGTGGGTGTGTGTGGATGGGTGAAGGTGGGTGTGGGTGGGTGAAGGTGGGTGTGTGTGGGTGAAGGTGGGTGTATGTGGGTGAAGGTGGGTGTATGTGGGTGAAGGTGGGTGTATGTGGGTGAAGGTGGGTGTGTGTGGGTGAAGGTGGGTATTGTGGGTGAAGGTAGAAGTAGGTGGGTGCTGGTCACTTACCAATGACAGTCATGTTGCCATGACCGAACTTGGTGATGAAGAGTGGCGCCTCAGTGATCACCTCACACTTGTAGGTGCCGGAGGTGACCAACTCCAGGTCCTGCAGCACCACCGTCACGCCCGTACTGTCTCCCACCTGCCGAGGAGAGTGCAACTTGTTACAGTACACCCCTGCACCCCACTTGCTAGAGGATAGTACACTGTTACAGTACACCCCTGCACCCCACTTGCTAGAGGATAGTACACTGTTACAGTACACCCCTGCACCCCACTTGCTAGATGATAGTACACTGTTACAGTACACCCCTGCACCCCACTTGCTTGAGGATAGTACACTGTTACAGTACACCCCTGCACACCACTTGCTTGAGGATAGTACACTGTTACAGTACACCCCTGCACCCCACTTGCTTGAGGATAGTACACTGTTACAGTACACCCCTGCACCCCACTTGCTTGAGGATAGTACACTGTTACAGTACACCCCTGCACCCCACTTGCTTGAGGATAGTACACTGTTACAGTTCACCCCTGCACCCCACTTGCTTGAGGATAGTACACTGTTACAGTACACCCCTGCACACCACTTGCTTGAGGATAGTACACTGTTAGAGTACACCCCTGCACACCACTTGCTTGAGGATAGTACACTGTTACAGTACACCCCTGCACCCCACTTGCTTGAGGATAGTACACTGTTACAGCACACCCCTGCACCCCACTTGCTAGAGATAGTACACTGTTACAGTACACCCCTGCACCCCACTTGCTTGAGGATAGTAAACTGTTACAGTACACCCCTGCACACCACTTGCTTGAGGATAGTACACTGTTACAGTACACCCTGCACCCCACTTGCTTGAGGATAGTACACTGTTACAGTACACCCCTGCACCCCACTTGCTTGAGGATAGTGCACTGTTACAGTACACCCCTGCACCCCACTTGCTTGAGGATAGTACACTGTTACAGTACACCCCTGCACCCCACTTGCTTGAGGATAGTTCACTGTTACAGTACACCCCTGCACTCTACGTGCTGGTGGAGACCTAACCTATCTTATGGCTTTTTAAGACTAATTACAATGAAAAGGAAAAAACATGAATCTCTTTGTGATCTTGATGAACGGCTCAGAAGTGCCCTGAGAAACGTCACAGCGCGAACCAGAGTTTGATATGTCACTCCCTGCCTTTATCTCCTCCAGTAAGAGATACTTTTTGTGGACCAGAACATCAAAGGGAGAGTTGCAAACTTTTCAGCACAAGACTTACACAACCATGAATGATGCCGAGAGAAGTTTGAAAGTCGATTACTGTAGCTTCCCAGTGTCGAGTCGCGCCACCATGGTGCAGCACACCACACACTTTGGCACTATGATGGTGCAGCACACCACACACTTATGGTAGTAAGATGGTGCAGCACACCACACACTTTGGCACTATGATGGTGCAGCACACCACACACTTTGGCACTATGATGGTGCAGCACACCACATACTTTGGTAGTATGATGGAAGAATAAGCACCTCAGCAAATACTTTAACCTGGGCAGTAGTGGTAGAAGGTGTCACTAGTTTTTACTCGTAAGCAATGTCAATGTCAACTGATGCGAGGAAGACACTAAGTACCGTAAGATGTTGTCAATGGTTTGGGCTCTTGACAGAACAGCTGTGATCTGGTTGAGAAAGAGGTCTAGGTTTACCCTGTATTCTTTTACTCCAGATACTGTATTTTGCAGTGCCAGCAGCGAGAGAAGTGGTGTAGAAAAGTTAAACAGATTTTGAGCACAAATGACGATCTGTGATCTCATCAGTCACAATTATTCCTCAAAGTAAGTTATCTAAAATCTGCTGATACAGGCCGACAATATCACTTCATAAAGCCATCGACAACCTGAAACAATGCTAAGTGACAAAATTCTTCTCCGTAATCCAGTTTTATAATCTCATTCCATTAAACATGTAATGATTGAGCCCTTTTTTGTAATATTTAATTATGTTGGCGTCTTGGCGGCTTGTTACTACTGCAAACGAAACATTATATTAAAGGTGTTTGTGTTAGTGCTCTGAGCCACAAAGATGTTTACCTTTAATAACGTAAAATTCTCATTGTGAACAGCGTGCAGGAGCGTGTCGAGATTTGCTGTATTTTTATCATCCGTGGGAGAGGTAAAGCTGTTGTCTCTCTCTGTCTGTTTGCTTATTCGTCTCTCTGTGTTGTACAGGAAATGAGAGAACAAGGCTTTTCAATATCGACCCAAATATTCCCCTTAGGGTTATCAAGGTTAAGTTCGGATATGATTGGCTTCTATCTCTCACACACACAATACTAAAGTTACTTACGTCAACATTAACACCAGGGACCAGGAAGGTGTTCTTCGTAAGGTTGTTGGCGGGGATGTACTGATAGAAGAGCTTGTCTCCCTTGTACCACTTGAGGCTGTACAGAGTGGCGTTGTCCAGCTTGTAGCGACAGGAGAGCTCCGCCCGCGACCCCCTCACCTTGTATTCAGGCACCTCCACCTCCTGGATCTCCAGCGCCGCCGACCAACCTGGAGCAGGTAATGACGACCAAGTTATACTCCTGAGGAAGGTAATGACGACCAAGTTATACTCCTGAGGAAGGTAATGACGACCAAGTTATACTCCTGAGGAAGGTAATGACGACCAAGTTATACTCCTGACGGAGGTAATGACGACCAAGTTATACTCCTGAGGGAGGTAATGATGACCAAGTTATACTCCTGAGGGAGGTAATGGTGAACAAGTTATACTCCTGAGGGAGGTGATGATGATGAAGTTATACTCCTGAGGGAGGTAATGGCGACCAAGTTATTCTCCCGAGGGAGATAATGATGACCAAGTTATACTCCTGAGGGAGGTGATGATCAAGTTATACTCCTGAGGGAGGTGATGGCGACCAAGTTATACTCCTGAAGGAGGTGATGATTGTATAGATATGTACATACCAAGATATGTGAACACGCCTGACACCAGGACTCTTGTTACCATTCATTGTACCATTTATTCACATGTCTGTATTACTACATATTATTATAGCATGTCTGATGTCCATGCTTATGTCTAATGCCTATGTTCATTTACTATGTCCCGATGTACTATGTCTGTACCGCGCTAGTCGAGTAATTAGAAGACCTCATTTATTGTCCTAGGAATGTCTAGCAACTCCCCTTGCCTGGCTAGCTAATTTCCCTCAGATCGGCCTCGGCCTACCTACGGTCCGGGGTCCCTAGTAATCGCTCCTGTATCGGTTGGCTATCACGCCCAGCCTTGTACCACTTATTGAATATACCTACTGCTCGTGCCCTGGAGTTTCAAGAACCTTGTCTAGGATTACATCCACCACACCACATGGCGCAGTTTGAGTAGCTCCAACACGACAGTTTACAAGCCTCAAGAGCCGGCCCCGTCTGTTCCCGGCCTCGTCTGTTTCCCGCCCAGAAGATATACTCCACAGTGCCCCTGGATTTAAAGTGCTTTGTGACCTTGTGAAGTGCCCTAAGTGAAGTGCAGTGCCTTTCATGTCTCTTTGCTATGTTTCTGCGGCCCTACAGGTAGCAGACACGCCTTCAGCCCAGTTTCCAAGACAGCACTTCCGGCATACACCCCCCATCCACGGAGGCTCGCAAGCCACTGCCCGCGTCCCCTCCCACTGAACCAGCATCTCGCCCGGGCGCGCGGAGGAATACACCGCCGCTAGCCGCCTCCTCTCACTTCACAAATATTACAGTCAGTACTCTTTTACTTGCCAGCCAGTTCCTGCACTTAAGCAAATCCATTGGCGAAAATATAGCACTTCACCTTATTCTCCTTGTCTTTCCCATCGCAACAATACCAAGCACGAGATGTCTGACCACGACGATTTGCTGGGAAATTTATATGAGGATTATGAGGAAGACGACGCCTCACAGACCCTCCCACCCCCCCTCACGCCTCACACGCCGGGCGCGCCAAATTCAAAGGATGGGAGCCAGGATATACGTCAGTTAATCCACTTCCTACAAGTTTCTCAAGAGAAGGAAGCCCAAAGACGTCAATTAGAGGAGGAAAAACGACGTCAAGAGGAATTGTCAAGACAGTCAGAGGAATCAGCTTACCGCCTTCAACTTCAACAACAACACCAAGCTGATAACCGCAAATTCCTGGACCTATTGGAATTGCTGGCAACGAGGACGACTTCACCAGCTGCCACAACCAATTCGCCAGCTTCAGCCTCTTCATCTATCCTTCAGACAACGCCTCCTCACACGTCACCTATCTCCCCTAGGTATGCCTCAGTGTCTTCTCAACCACCCGTTCCAGTCTCAACTCTCGTCGACCTCTCCGTGCCTCCTCCACCGCCTGCCGTCTCGAGTACACCCCTGCACAGCAAGTCTTCAGTTCCCAGTCCCCCACCTCTTCAATCTGATGCAACATATCAAGTATACCGTCAATGGCGACGTCGTTTCGAAGACTTTGCTGTTATGTCTGACCTCTACCGAATGCCCCCTCATAAACAACTCATCCAATTAAGATCGTGCATTTCCCTCGATGTTCAACGCCTCCTAGAGCACACGCTAGCCATCCCCCCTGACTCCCCCAGGTCAGTGACAGAGGTTTTAAACGCCTTGCAGAGTCATTTCCGTGGCCTCCGCAATGAAGCTTTGCGTCGTAGGGAACTGCTATCCTGCAAACAAGCTTCTGGGGAATCATTCTCAGACTTCTATGCACGACTTAAGGACCTAGCAACCGAGGTGGACCTATGTACAGGCGATCCTGTAACCTGTGCTGAGATCCAGCTCAAGATGATCTTGCTGATGGGTGTACGTGACGAGGACCTGCTTCAGAAACTCCTCACCCTCGACGCCGCCTCTTCCCTCACCGACTTCGTCACCTGTTGCAGGTCGTATGAGGCCACAAGAGAGGCTGCCTCAGCTATACACTCATCGCCATCTCAAGTCCACGCCGTCTCCACCTACAAGAGGAATCAACGCCAGATGCAGACGACGTCCTCTCCACAGCCCCCGTCACAGTCACCAGTTTCTTCTCCCGAATCCTGCAGAAACTGTCAGCACCAGCATGGTCCAGGAAAGTGCCCTGCGGCTGATAGTACATGTCGAAACTGTGGGTTTCAAGGCCATTGGCCCCGCACACCTCGATGTCCTGCCAACAAGGTCTCATGCAACGCTTGCAACAAGCAAGGACACTTCGCCAAGTGTTGCAGGTCCACCAAGAAGCCTCCATCTCCAGGTCAAAACGTCTCTTCACAGCCCGACAGAACGTCCACACCACCGTCTCCCAAGAACGACAAAGGATGCCGACGCGTGGATGATACCTCAAGTGACAGGTCCCCCAAGCCCGTCAATGTTCGTCTGTCCTACGGTACCAACTCTTCCAACCTCCTGATGATACCTGACACGGGCGCGGACATCACGGTGATTGGACCAACACACCTGGACGCCCTCAACATCCCCAGGAGTAGCCTGTCACCCACAGCCATGAACGACGTGCTCACAGCGGACGGGTCCCCGATGTCTCCACCTTTGGGTTGCTTCAAGGCAACACTACAGCTCGGTCCCAAGTCTTGCCTTGCCACAGTCCACGTCCATGAGGGCATCCAAACCCCTCTTGTCATGTGGCCATTGTCAGGACTTGGCCATCGTCTCATCCGAGTTCCCAAAGCCCATCCTCGCTGTGACACACCTCAACAGGTGTGCAGAGATACCTGTTTCAGCCATGACCACACCTGCTGCCGCCCGGGAGTTCTTTTTTCGTCAGTTCAGCGACGTCCTTGTCTCCAAGCCCGACCTCCAGAAGACGCCGCTCAAGAAGATGACAGGCCCCCCGATGAGAATCCACCTCAAGCCTGGCGCGACGCCTTTCGCCATCCACACACCCAGGCCTATCCCCTTTGCCATACGGGACAAGGTGAAGGCGGAGCTCGATTCTCTGGTGCAGCAGGGGATCATCAGACACGCCGGTGAGGAGCCCTCCGAGTGGTGCCACCCTATGGTCTTGGCACCCAAGCCTGTAGGTGTTCGCATCACAGTGGACCTCACCCATCTCAACTCGCAGGTCTCCCGTCCCGCCCATCCATCGCCTACGCCCATCCAAGCAGTCCGCAGCGTCACCCCGTCTGCAAAGTTCTTTACCACGGCGGATGCACTACATGGGTACTGGCAAGTCGACCTGGCGGAAGAAGATCGCCACCTCACTACATTCATCACGCCCTACGGCCGCTTCCAACACTGCCGCGGACCCATGGGCTTCGCAGCAACGGGGGATGCGTACTGCCTCCGTGGGGATATGGCTCTGCAGGGTGTCACCAACTGCGTGAAGGTCGTAGATGACATCCTGCTCTTCGACGATGATCTCCCGGCCCACTTGAACCGAGTTCATCTGATGCTCACAAGATGTCGTGCCCATGGTATCACCCTGAACAAAGACAAATTTGTGGTCGCCGCCCCCCAAGTTAACTACTGCGGCTACAACATCTCGCCAGAGGGGATCTCAGCTGATGAGGAGAAGGTCAAGGCCATCAGGGACTTCCCTACTCCAGCGAACCTGACCGACCTTCGCTCATTTATGGGCCTGGTAAATCAGCTGGCCGACTTCTCCCCTAAAATCGCCACATCAGCCCAACCTCTACGCCCCCTCATGAGCCCCAAGCGCTCTTTCCTCTGGACTCCTGACCACGACCTAGCGTTCAGGAATGTTAAGAAGGCGTTGCTGTCACCACCAGTCCTGGCACCCTTCGACCCGTCCTTACCAGTGGTCCTCCAGACCGACGCCTCCCGTCTATACGGCCTCGGATATGCCCTCCTTCAAGACCACGGCCAGGGTAGACTGCGCTTAGTTCAGTGTGGCTCCAGGTTTTTGACGGACACGGAGACCAGATACGCCACCATTGAACTAGAGATGCTGGCAGTCGCCTGGGCTATGGCCAAGTGCCGCCTTTACCTGTTCGGCCTTGGGCATTTCACCCTCATGACGGACCATCGCCCGCTCATACCCATTCTTAATCACTACACGTTGGACGCCATCGAAAATCCTCGCCTCCAACGTCTCAAAGAGAAGACCGCCCCTTACGTCTTTACAGCTGTGTGGCGCGCCGGGAAGCTTCTGTGCATACCAGACGCCCTCTCCCGAGCCCCTGTTAGTCGCCCCACACCTGAAGATGAAGTCGACTGTACCATGGCCGCTGCTCACGTTCGGTCTTTAGTGACACACACAGCCACTTCTCTTGCTGACAAGACGACGACGACGCCCTCCATCGAAGACGATAGGACTCTCCAGGAGCTTCGCATCGCCGCCGCTCAAGACCCGGCATACGTCCAACTCCTCGACTACGTCTCCGCTGGATTCCCCACCAACCGCTACGACATTCACGCCTCCGCCCTCCCCTTCTGGAAGCTAAGGGATAGCCTCTATGCGGACGGAGAGCTGGTGTTGTACGGCCCCAGGATCGTCGTTCCCGCTGCCCTCCGCCGGCGCACCTTATCCCGCCTCCATGACAGCCACCGCGGCGTTGAAGCCACCAGGCGCAGAGCCC